TCATATAGTCAACCCAGGACAGCCATGTAGATAATTTCTTTCCACGTGCTGAAAATTCCAATCCCATAAAATTATTGCCCATAAGCAGACTAGGGCTCAAATATATAGGGGAAAAAATAAAATAAAATAAAATAAAATAAAATAAAATAAAATAAAATAAAATAAAATAAAATAAAATAAAATAAAATAAAAACAAAATCCAAGCAACCACACAAAAACAAAGCACCCAAACAGTTAAGTCCAGTTTGATTTGCTATAAATGTATTATTTTAGGTCTGTACATGAGTATCTAAGTCACTTCATCATTAAAGTTATCATGTTGTTTTGGCATGCCATCCTCCAACATCATCTCTGGACAAGGCAATTTTAAGGAAGATTAGTTTAAGACTTCGTGTAATGAAGATGCAAGCAACTGGAGAATCTAAATACTAACCTAAAATTAGCAAGATGAAAATATTCTAAGAAGAATGCATGCTGATTTTATCCACTGATTCTTGCTTTGTCTCTTACTCTTATTTTAAGAGCTACATGAGGATATGGTATTCTGAGTTTGGTTTTCAATTCACTCATTGCCTGTTTTCCTCAACAGCCTTTCACATAGTGCAAAATAATTCCCTCTTCCTTCTACAAATCTTAAGTGAATTGGCAGAGAAATGAAGCTCAATGCTTCCAACCAGGTGTATATTATCAACAGACACTTTAATTTTTATCTGTACTTGGGGTAATAAAGGATATGCTAAAGCTGGTTTTTGGCCTGACAGATAACCAGTTTATCCTGCTTCTCCAGAAAGATGTTCCGGATAAAAATATTAATAGTATGTGTTTCAAATCTGCACATTGTAGCCCAAAGTGTATCCATTGGATGAATTTGCTGACAGACCGCCACGTGACTGCAGTTAGATTTTGAGTTTGTATTAAGTTGCCCGGCTGGGATCAGTGTACTGCACCACAGTCTGGGATGTAATCATAATAGAAGTGGAAAAAAACTGAAGAAGAAAGGTGATTTGGATGGCTGTTTGTGAGAAAGCAAGTTTGGAGCTGTGGGCAGGAGAATTAAACCAGAATGGAAGAGGATATAAAAAGCCCTGACTAAAGTTTATTCTTACACATGAGTACCATGGTATCTTCATGAAACATTTGTTTTTAGATTCTAACACATCAAAATGTTTGTAGATTCTTTTTAATGAATGAGCGTTAATATTTAAGCTCTATCACAAACAATTCCAATCCACAAATACACATCTAGCTACACTCCCCACTTTGGCATCTTCTGTAAAAGCAAAATAGTTCCAAAAAGCAGCGTGAAGTTGCTTTCATGCCCTCCACTGAAAGGCTAGAGAGAAAGGGGTGTCATTTCACACACCATTTTTCTCATTATTAAGTATGACAGAAAAACAATAATGAAGATCAATGTCAATGCCTCTAGAAGGATTTGTGCAGAAAAGAATCCTGGGATTTCTGTTAATCTCTGTACCTGCCTTAGAGCATATTTCACATTAAGCTGCACACTCTAATATTCCTTCATACCTTATTTTAAATCCTGCAGAGCATGTACATAATGCACTTTTATCTTCTACTTTCCTCATTCATATGAACATATGCTTCTTTATATTTTGGCAGTCCTTCAAATGGGATCATTTGAAAAACACTTACAGTTAATGACTTTAACCTTCCAAAACAAAATACACCACATCTTCAAAATCTGGAGCAATTTCTCTAACATTGACAACCACTTCTGTTAGTTAGATCAGTCATTCAAATAGGTCATAATTTTTTAGGTAAATAAAATTCAAAAATCCTCCAAAACTGCCACGGACGTGTATGCAACATAAAATTATATTGTTATTCTTAAAAATTATATTGTTATTCTATGTAAAAAAAATCATTAAATTAGAACAGCTTTTTCCTTTAACATCAATATTAATTATTTCCAATTTGTTGCCATTCACCATCAGAAAAAGGAACACTGAAAATATCTGAAATAAATTCTGGCTTTTAGCCAGTGACAAGTTCATAATATAAGCACCTCCAAAGTTCAGGTGCAAACAAAACTATCAAATAAATTCAGAAAGATGATGAATGAAGAAAAGCTAACATATATATATATATATATATTAGATTCAAAAGTGTATGGATCAAACAGTTAAGAGTAGAAGAAGTAAAAGGTGATATCAGTATTTGTATTTCTTCTAACTCTACAAAACAACCAACTAAAACATACAAAAAACAAACAAACAAAAAACAAAACCCAAAAAAAACCCAAAAAAACCAACCCACAACCAAAACCAATTATTTCTAAGCCAAAAGCCAAAATCACTTGGATCTAGCTCTTCTAGTATTTTCGTGGAAACCCGTGAAATTCCTGCAATTTATGCACAAATAGAGTACACAATTAGCACAATGATAAGGCATAATTTTGCCTCCTATATGTCAATGAAACTTCAATATTTTATCTTTCATCCAGTGTTTGTAGCCTTCACGTCTTACTGAAAAAGGAGAACTTTACCCAGAAATAATACAGGCATGTTCAGGTCCTTTTTTTTTTTTTTACTAATGATGGCTAGAGTTAGTGTAGCCTTTAGCATGAAAATTGGAAGCAGAACATTTACTGTAGGAAACAGCATTTTTCCTTTGACTGAGGAAAAGAAATGAGAAAGAAATTGGGGTAACCACTTTAGTCAAAATCTCTATTTCAATATATATAATCCAAAGGTTATTCTCCAACAGATTTGTCATTGCAAGTTTTACACTCTATTTAAAATATAAAGCAACATTCAGGAATGAAGAGAAGGGATAATAAAAATAAGGGATATCCTTTATTAGATGTTTGTCCAACTTTTAAAGCTCTGGCTCCAAGCTTCTTTTCTTCAACCAAATGCAGTGGATTAGAGGCAAAAACAATAAACTATCTCCTTTTTGTAATCTCATGCATGTTTGCAAGTCCAGATATTCCTCTGTATTTCTGTTGTGCAGTAAACCACATTGGCATTTATAAAGGAATTACAAAGCAATAACTTACCATCCCTCCCATCGCTGTTTGAAATTGTCTGCTAGTAATCTGATTTCTTTCTACTCAAGCAGCCTTTTTTCAAGAAAATCCTTCTAGGTTCAGAATTTAGCATACAAGTAAAAGTGTAAGCACAGAGGCTTTCAGGTCTAAGAAAAAAAAAGAGGGGAAAAGAAACATCATTTAATATTACAATGATCTCATTTGTAAATAAGTGCAGTCATTTTCAGTAGATGTTCATCCTTCTGAATGCAAATTTCTTAAATACTTTTTCCCTGCACTCTGGATGACCCACTGAAGTCTAGAACAAACCTGAGCACAGTACATCTGTCCCCATTTTTCTACATGTTTCTACTGGGGGATATAAAAATGATATATGCCTAAGAGTGTTTTAAATACATTTATTGAAACTGAATCTGATTCCCTTACAGCATTTCACAGAGTCACATTATCTCAACTCCTGGAAAAATATAGTAAGAGCTAGGCCTGGGGCTGAATGGCTATAAATGGTAAGTTCTTGTAGTAAAGCTTTCCTACAAACCTTCCATTCATTCCTGCTCCTATTGCGGAGCACCTGCTTTGAATCATCACCTCAAAGAGTGTAATCTTTTCCTCATTTTTGCTTCTTCCATTTTGCCTCAGCAAAATAAATTCAAAACTGAAGCCTGGAAATGAGGAAGAATGAACATATTTCTTTCTTATTTCCCAATAAACCGAGACCAGGGACTTCTTCCCCTGCTTGGAATCAGATAGGGAGTACCTTTGAAGTCCTACACTCCTCACAATTTGCCTCTGATATATGGTTGTTTATACTCAGTCAGGGGTTCTTGGAAAAGTAATCATTGTGCTTTGCAATTCTCTGCAATGCTTTTGCGGAGAAAGATATAAATTTAAACTTCCTTTCACAAATTAGTTATTTGGAATTTTGTCCTTTATTTCCAGCCCTAGAGTGGTCAGCCCTAGAGTGGTCTGCTGGGAAAAAAGGAGAGCTGCACCCATCACCTTTGTATAGCTAATTAATTCTCCCTTACTGTGATATTTGTATATTCACCCTTTCAGCATCATTGTTGTTCCAATCCATCTGTCTCTCTGATCCTCATCACCCCTTTATGTCATTTGCTAGCACAAATAGTCATATTTAAAGAGAAAAAGAAAAAAATTCCAACAGGAGATAATCCTATTATTTTAATCTAAAATTTTGTGTTCTTCAAGAAACTTACTGCTTATTTTTCAGAGAAATATTTTTCTGAAAGATATTTTTTCCTTCTTTGGAAACATTTTGTTTTTCTGTATTCACTCAAAATACTCAAAATTAATATTCCTCAAGTTGGGCCAATATCCCAGTTTGTACCAACAAATGTAAGTAAATTCAGAGCTGTAAAACCATAGATGTCAAAAGCAAGGTTAGCCTAAGGTAAAACATACATGAACAAAGAGCCCAGGTGCTGGGAAGATCAGAGCAACAAAACAGTCGTCCCTGCAAATATTTAGCCACACCTTGTTGTCAGTTTAGCTAACCAGGTGGGAGCTGTATACATAACGGCAGGAGGGAAAATACTGCAGGGACACTGAAAACACCTCCAGAGGCAGTGAAAAGGAGCATAAAAATCAATAGAAGAATGTTGCAGATGAAGCTAACAACTTAAAGATCAATCAAGTTCAAAAAACATTGTTCAAATTAATATGATTGCATCACTGCATTAGTTTGCTGAAATACATGGGAAAGCAGTGATAACTGTGAATTTCCAATAGAAACCAAGCAGGGAAAACCCTCCTCAATCTCTCTGAAATTTCTCAGGAAGTCCCATTACTTCTGACATAAATTTTTCAGGTCACATACAGAAATACAAGCTCTATTTTACTCAGTGTATCTAGTGACATCCATATATGATGTATGACAAATATCATCACTTCATGCTATATGAAAAAACCTTTTCCTTAAAAAATGGGCAACTATATTGCACTCTGTAAAAAGAAAATTATTCCAAGAGTCAGAGTAAAAGTACTCAAATCATCCCAAGCCTAAATTATAGAAGTTAGAGAATCATTACTCTGCTCAAAAGCATCCAAGCCTCTCAGCCAAGTCCTTTGTCAGTGATTTTATGTCACCTTTACTACCACTGTGAAGCAACAGGACCTTGGAGTATAGCATCATTACCCAGCTGAGAAACAGCTGGAGAGTGAGCCTTTCCTTACGGGAGCAAGCCTGACTTATGCATAATATTAATATTCAAACCACAACCACGAGAAGCCATTAAAGAAAGTATTTTACTCCCTGAAGGTCAACAAAGCTAAAGGACTTCAGGGGACAAATAATTTCTCAGGAGAATCAATTGTGGAGGTAGACATATCAGAATAAAACCATTTACATAGCCTTTGGTTTAACCTTTCCAAGCACTTGGAAATCACTTCAATTCTTCTGGTCTGTGACAGATTTTATGTGCTGGACAAAAAGGAGAGCGGAGAAGAGACTTGTCAAATTCTTCAGTAATTCCAGACACTGAAGTCTCTAGATATTTAAAATTATTAGTAATTGTTAATACAGATTTCAGTTATTTTACTCAATTTTTCAGCCAGAACTTTATTGACTTTACTGTTTCTCTAAGAAAAATTAAATACTGCCTTTTACTAATAGTGAAGATTCCTACTTTTTCTTACAAACATAGAATTAAAAGTGAAGGAATTCTTATAAATGGCTCTTTCTATTGCCTTGGTTCAGAAAATATCTCTCACAATAGCTTAAGAATGGATAATTTCTTGGATATTGATGCTGGCTTTAGCAAATAACCTACAATCTTTGGAATATTTTTCCCAGTGATTTCAGGAATATTTTTTGGATAATGCTACAGAAAAAACAGCTACTCACTAGCAACCACCTAAATATTACAGTAATTCCTCTGTTCCACCTTTGCTTACACCCCCATTTTGTCAATAGATATGCTTAGATATAAGATTACAGCCTGCTCATCTGAACAGGTTTTTCTTTGCTTTCTTTCTTTTCTCTCTCAGCTGATCTGCTGCTACTACTGCTCCTAGTTTTCACTTTCTGAGCATTTGCCATTCATGGTTTATGCACCAGTAAAACTATTGTTCTTTAGTAGTTTTAGACTTTAAAAATACAGCTGCAATGAACCCAGTCCTCTGGAACATATTTCAAGGTAATATGTAGCCATCAGGGAAGGAACTTCTAACTTATGTACTGAGTTATTTGCATAAATCAAAAACTAAACACTATTGCCTCACAGCATTACTTTTATAATCGGTGAATCAGTGAAAGAGATACAAGACAATACATTAGCTATTTCTTCAGATTATAAAGCAAAAGGATTGAGAAATCCTTCACAGAAACACAGGGAGGAATATAGCTCAGTTTAAAAGCTGAATTACTTCTTTAAAATACTAAATCCTTGGTGGGGGAGGGGAATTAACATTTAAGCTAAGGTAACTTCAAATGCGCCTCTATAAAGCTGAAGACAGAATTACTCTATTTCTCAAGGCTGCAAAAAATAGTTAGAGAAGGAAAATATTTTCAAACAATATTAAAAAAATAATTTAAATTAAATTTTGGTGACATGGGCCCAGGTTTAATCAAAATTAAAGCTACAAAATAGCATAACTATTAAATACTAGTAATGCCACAAAAGTAGACTTATTGCAAAATTAATAAAGATAAAGTAAAATTGATATAGAAAGAGATCATACCACGACATATTTATCCCAGATCACATACTCAAATACCCTTGATGACTTGAAGGAACAAATATGCCACAGCTAAGATTATATCACAAATGAAAAATAGAAGTAGGTTTAAAAAGACATTGCAAATAATGAATAAAATAAATCACTATCCAAAGTCAGTTTAGAAGTGTTTCCTATCATCAAGATGAAAAAAAGTGATAGAACCATGAAAGGTATACAATTGTCCCATGAAGATAAATATGGGAACCTTTAAAAGCCCAGAAAAGAGCTTTAGCAGAAATACATTGTTGGCTGGTGTCAACAGCTTTTCTCAGCAGTATATTTGTTCCTTCTGATGCCTTTAACAAATGTACATGTTTTTGCTTTTCACAGACTTATATGCTTAATAAATGGTTTTTCCTAATTCTTCATCTTCTAACATTTTAGCTATAAACAATATCATTAAAGGCAAGACTGCAGAATTTTTTTCAGTATTTTCACCTCATTAGAGAAGGAATAACTTATGTGATTATGCTTTTACATTATGGTAACAGTCTACTTACTTGATGGTAAGACAGAAATATTCCTGGTTCAAACTGTGATTTTAATTCTTTCCTACTAATTGTTGCATTGGAAGCTGAACAATTTGATAGAACTTATACTCACCTTGTTTTCAGGAGAAGAGTCTCAATTCTATTACAGTAGCATAGCTAGAAATTATTACCTACAGGTCAAGGGACTACTTGCTATACTCTTATACTGATATCCTAAAGTGGTTCAAGAGACATTCTGTGATAATTAGATTCAGCCTCTCTTAAATAAAAATGGGCCTTCTAGAGGGAGCCAAAAAATATGTTAATTTCTTTTTGGAGTAAAATTGAAGAAGACTGCATTTCATATTAAAAATTACTCCTACTGGTAGGAGTTTCTTCTTGAAGATCAGCATTAATAGGGGACAGTTATGTAATTCACAAAGACTACAAATCAAAACAGAGAGATCAAACCATTTTTCACTTCTGTATTATTATCTGCATCATCTATCTCCATTATAAACCTTTCTTCATTATAAATATAAACAAACTTGCTTTTTTTTCCTTCCTGTTAAACAAAATGCAGAGCAGTGAGAAGGAAATGTTCATGGAGAAAAAAACATATCCCATGAAAATAAAAGAGCAAGAGAGGAAACACATGGAAAGCTAAAGCATATGAAGGTAAAATCTGTGGTCTCATAAACATCCTGTAGTCTCCCTGCAGAAACACACTCTGGTAATGGTTCATCAAATGTTTACGTGCATGAGGAATTCCTACTGGATACAATGATTCTTACATGAAAAGCACTTACCTCTCTGACAAAAAAACCATCACTGAATTGAGATGTAATGCTTAAACACAGGGGGGGAAAAAAGAAAATAAACTTTGATATGAGTACTGGGTCAACATTTTCAATAGCTCTTTAACAAGTGCCAAAGAA